CGGCACCTCCGCGGGGTCCCGTCCCCATCCCCTTCCTCCTGCAGCGCCCGCCCCGTGCGAGCCCTGCGGGGGGCAGCAGCAGCCTCTCTGATTTTGGGGCAGATCCTTGGCTCCGAGGGCGAGTCCCTCCGGTAGCATGAGGTACTTCACCGTCTGGGACTATGTGGTCTTTGCGGCCATGCTGGTGGTCTCGGCCGTCATCGGCGTCTACTATGCCTTCGCAGGGGGAGGGCAGAAGACATCCAAAGACTTCCTCATGGGGGGCCGCAGCATGAATGCTCTCCCCGTTGCGCTCTCCCTCACTGCCAGCTTCATGTCAGCTGTCACTGTGTTGGGCACCCCTGCCGAGATCTACCGATATGGTGCCATCTTCTGCATCTTCGCCATCACCTACGGGCTGGTGGTGCTGTGCAGTGCCGAGATCTTCCTGCCTGTCTTCTACAGGCTGGGCATTACCAGCACCTATGAGGTAAGGTAGAGTAGAAGGAGCCTTTCCACAACCTTCAGGGAGCTGGGGTCTTCTCAGCCTGCTTTCTACATGTCTGCCTTCAGTCTCTTCCTCCAAATCCCCTTGCACTCTCTTCTGCCCCATATTTTCACGCTCCCAAGGGCAGGCTGCAGCCTGCTCTGTCCCCAAGACTGCCCACGCTGCCTCTTCACAGAGGAGATGCTCAACCCTGCTGCCTTGGCTCAGGAACTGTACACCATGCCAGATCTGTTTCCTCACTCCAGATACTCAGTTTAGCAGGTTGATTAATCCTCATGTAGCTTGGATGGTGACACGTGGTTAATGATGTATAATTAATATACCAAGAGCAGAGCGCAAGAACATCTAATACAGGAATCAGAGTTCTCACATCATGCTCCCTCCAGATAGGTTTCTAAGCTCAAGCGCTGCCACGAAAGTCTCCTTCTATCAGAGCGTATGCTTGTGCTGTTCCTAGAGATTTTGGGGAGATACCCTTTCCACCTGAGGCTGTTCCCATCAGTGAGCGTCTTCTCCATCATGCTTATACAGGGAGGTCAGCAAGTGCTCTGTGTCTGCGAGAGTTTTCTTATTTCCACCAAAGTATAGCTGAGCTGATCTTCAGCTCAGCATGTAAGTCAAAGCTGTAGCTGACAGCAGAGAGGCATCTAGGGTGGTGGGACACATCACAGGTCGAGTCTGACTGTTTAGAGGTGAGGAAGCATCTGGTCAGAACTTTCTTCTGATTTATAAGGTCTGTGCAACCTGTTCGTCTTCCTTTATAGAGAGGAGATAGTTCCTAGATGAAGATTTGGAGGCAAATTGCTTTTTTCACAGAGGACATTGGGAAAGAGGCATTGGTGCAGGTGAAAGTCCTTGACTAGCTACTTTGGTCTTTTGCATTTTATTACATTGAACAGGGGTATTGCAGCACTGCAGGCTGAAAACAAGGTTTCTGTGATTAGATTTAGATAATCTCTGGTGGCTTCTAGTGTGTTTTAAACTACTAATCTTTGGACTATCAGTTATGATGATATTTAAAATAGGGTGCTTCTAAATAAAGACTTGTAATTATGACTGGAAACTCACTGGTAATCTTGCGGTTAAATCAGCGTAATGCACCTATAAAAGATATATCTTCTGTATGTGGACAGAGTTCAGAGATTAAACAACTTTTTGCGTCTGTCCAGGGGTTCAGCACACTGCTTCCTTGTGTGGACATGCTCACAGATCACATTTTAAAGACTCCGTTCACGAGTGAGCACTTTGAGATAATTCAGTGTTTGTCTCTGTCAACTAAACAGCTTGGCAGGCAAAGGAAATCCCTTTTGTGCAACCACACACACTAGAGGGTTGTTAGGACAGATGGTGGGAAGAAATCTGCCCTACAGCATGACAAACTCATTCAGAGGTTATGCTGTCCCAGACTAGACAGAAAAGTGAGGGGTGCTGTTTTGCAAAAGGCTATCTTTCCACTTGCACGTAGAATGTGGCAAGCTGCTTTGGGCAGTGCAGAGGAAACTTTTGACCATTGAAAACCTTCTGCCCTCTATTGCAACACTTCGGAGGAACACACATAATGCCAGACTTTCAAAATTGACTGAGGCTTAGTAATGAAGGTGGTGAAACACTAGTACAGGTTGCCCAGAGAAACTGTGGATGCTCCATCCCTGGAGGTGTTCAAGGCCAGGTTGGATGAAGCTTTGAGCAACTTGATCTAGTGGAAGATGTCCCTGCCCATGGCAGGGGGTTGGAACTAAATGATCTTTAAGTACCTTCCAACCCAAACCATTGTATGATTCTGTAATAGCAATTATGTTTTCTTTTTTTCTGATTTCACAACACAAGTGGGTATGGTTGTTTGCTGGTACATCATTTTAGGTTGCCTTGTGCAGAGTCAAGAGTTGGACCTGATGATCTTTGTGGGTCCCTTCCAACTCAGGATATTCAATGATTCTGTGTTAATACGTGCTGGTCTTTTCCAGGTGTACGGTCCGCAGCTCCTTGTCTCTTGAGTGTCCTGAGGCAGCTGAGTAGCACTAGTTTCCATTCTGCAGAATCTGTCGTATACTGACTAGCTTATGTCTACTTCACTTACTCGTGTGTCATTACCCAGTGAGGAGGTCTGTAAAGAAATATCAAGTTGAAAGAGATATCAAAATATCAAGTTGAAAGAGATATCAGTCAAGGTGACTGTGGGAGTGGGAGTTTTGGCCATTCATGAAAATGTAAAAACTGTGCCCTTTCTGTATTGCTCATCACTTCACTCTAGTCCTATGAATAGTGCTAAGTTTTGGTATTAACATATGTCTATTCTCCTCTTTTGCAGTATTTAGAACTTCGATTTAATAAATACCTTCGCCTCTGTGGAACAATCCTCTTCGTTATACAAACGGCAAGTAAACCTTGAAGCTGTTCTGTGGTCCTTGTGGCCACCAAGATTCTTCAGCTAAGCGTAACTGGATATTTCCTCTGAACAGTTGATGAGGTTACCACAGCGCATGGGTGGCTGGGAGTGGGAGAAACAAAGCTCTTTCTGCTCCAAAGCAATGAGGTGGGGAGGGGACTCTGGACTACCTGCCCCTTTGGTCTCTGTGTGCATTGCCGAGCTCTCAGAGCAGTCACTTGGCATTACTGCCATGCCAAGAGACGAGCGACCCTTCATTGCAGGGTAGCAGTGTGAAGAGCAGTCGTTCGCCTGCCTGCTCGATAAACCCACAACGAGTTCAAAATGTAAACATGCCCCAATTATCTACAGTGGCAGTATTCATCCTCCAGACTACAGATTCTGGGAAGCTGACTAGTTCTCAAGGGTCTGTGAAAGGTGACAAAACAAGCTGTCAGGAGCTCTCATTTGCTGCACAAGGGTTTGTACCACAACCTCTGTAAAAAACCTGGGTGTCCGCAAACTGAGAAGTAGCAAATTACTGCCTTGGGGAATGTTAAACTAAAGCAGTCCCTGCAATCATTGTTGGTGCAGTTTGCTGTATCCAGCCCATTCGGTGAGTCAGTATGAGACCACAGCTTTTAAATACACAGTGAGCATGTGCCAAAGGCACCAGGAACAAAAATGTTTTCTTTTCACAATTTTGAAGTGGACTTTTTGGGAAATTCAAAGCAAGAATGAATATACAATCAGAAAGCTTTTCAAGTTACATGCTTGCTTTTTGCCCTTTTTGTATTTTTAAGGCACACCAGGAGTAACAGGACAATCCCACTTGCACCAATGAGATGGTGGTGAATGCAGTGCTAATTACTTATTTGAACAGTGCTGCTTAGCTGGCATTTATAGATACACAAGCCCATAGGAAAAGTTAAGTGCTAGCATGTGTGAATCCTGACACTGTTTCATCAGCAAATACAAAGACACCACAGTTGCATAAATTAGAGCAAGCCAAGCATAATCTTTGCTTGCAAAGATCACAAAAATAATTATATAGAACTTAGATATGTGCCCAAGGAAATTGACTAAAGGTCTACAGGTGTTTTTCTGTGCCAAGTGCTACCAACTTAACCTGATTAATGAAAAGAATAGTGAGGAAAGGAAACCTCCCAAGATTTTAATGGTGTAGTTTTAACTGTTCTATGAATATTGGCATGTGTTTAAAAGAAAAAAAAAAGGGTATGTAGTAATACGATCTGAAAAACCACTGAAGAAGTGGAAAGATTGAATCATGGATCCTATTTTAATTTACACAAAAGTGTGATCATACTTGTGACAAATTTTATTTTCTGATGGTTCAAAGCTTCTGACACTTGTTTGCTACGTGTGAGAAAGCCACTTTCTCATGCCAAATCCCTGAATTAGAAGGATTGGAGAGATATGGATTTGATTGATGGACTATTGGATAAGGAGTTGGCTGAATGGTTGCATCCAAAGAGTTGCAGTCCACAGCTAAATGTCCTAATGGAAACCAGTAATGAGTGGTGTTCTTCAAGCATCTGTACTGGGACCAATGCTATTTAATACTTTCATTAATGAGATAGTGGAATTGAGATCACCCTCAGCAAGTTTGTGGGTGACACCAAACTTAGTGGTGAAGCTGATTTGCTAGAGGGAAGGGATGCCATCCAGAGGTACTTCTACAGGCTTGACAAGTGGGCCCATGTGAACCTCATGAAGTTCAACAAGGCCAAGTATAAGGTCCTGCACCTGAGTCGGGGCAATCCCCAATGTCAGTACAGACTGGAGGATAAACTGATTGAGAGCAGCCCTGTGGAGAAAGACGTGGGGATACTGGTGGATGAAAAATTGAACACGAGCCAGCAATGCATGCTTGCAGCCCAGAAAGCTAATGCTATCCTGGGCTGCATAAAAAGACGCATGGCCAACAGGTGATTCTCCCCTTCTACTCCACTCTTGTGAGATCCCACCTGGAGTATTGCATCCAGCTCTGGGGTCCACAGCACAAGAAAGACAGGACCTGTTGGAGCAGGTTCAGAGAAGGGCCACGAAAACAACCAGAGGGATGGAACACCTCTCCTATGAAGAACGACTGAGAAAGTTGGGGTTGTTCAGCCTGGAGAAGAGAAAGCTGCAGGGAGATCATATTGCAGCCTTTCAATATGTAAAGGGGGCTTATGAGAAAGATGGAGAGAGACTTTTTATCAAGTCCTGTAGTGACAGGACAAGGGACAATGGTTTTAAACTGAAAGAGGATAGATTTAGGTTGGATATAAGGAAGACATTTTTTGCAACGAGAGTGATGGGACACTGGATCAGGTTGCCCAGAGAAGTTATGGATGCCTCATCCCTGGAAGTGCTCAAGGTCAGGTTGGATGGAACTCTGAGCAACCTGATCTAGTGGAAGATGTCCCCATAGCAGGGGAGTTGGACTAGGTGATTTTTAAAGGATCCCTCCCACCCAAACCATTCTATGATGCAACCCATGCTGACAGTTACTGTCTGGACAGCAAGTCAAACATTGACTGGGCTTGACAAGTGTCAGTAGTTGGCTGTGAAGTGATGCAGCTAGTTCTGAGAAGACATTCCCCAGGGATGGGTCAGGACTGGCAGCTTTCTTGGCATACAAGCTATATGTGAAAACCTAGAGAGGACTCATGGCACTGAGGGAAACAAATGTGTACACGCAGGCGGGCAGTAATACAAAGGTAGGAATGACTATTTCCCCAATGGCCCCACCATCCTTTCTGGCCTGTGCTTGTAGCCGGTGTGCAGCAAGGAGCCAGGGCAATCTGGTCATGCTGGGTGAAGCAGCCTCTCTATGCTGATTTTCTCCCACAGCTGGGTTACTGCTCACTTGAGTTACCTCTTGGCTGTCTCGCCAGTGTAGCCACTGGCCATGTGGCAGAGCTCCACCATGGGGACTGGATTTGACCTGCTCAAGAGCCACAGCAAGTGATCCACCAGTTAACCATCCTGCTTTGGTTTACCGCCTGTGCCTGGGGTGGTCTCCATACTCATGGGAAGGGCAAAGGCTTGCTGAATGCTGGATGATGTCTGATTCTGCTGCTTTTTGATGCCCAAGTTCCACTCATGTAAATCAGGGAGTCAGAAGAGTTCAGTCATGGGAAGCTGATGCAAGTCAGCTCAGGACCTGACTGTGGTTTAGATTCTTTAATTCAAGATCACAGACCTTCACAGAAGTCTTGGATCATTGCAAGCTGTGTTCCCCTGAACCATGTCACAGCTGGGCTTGTCTTAGTAGTACAAGGCAGTAATAACACTGGTAAAAAGGCAAACAGGATTTAAAAACATACGCAAAGAGATTATAAAGGATATCAGTGTATGAATCCCATTGTGCCCACAAAAGTGAATGGACTAGCTCCTTGATTTGTCTCTATCTTTACTGTATTGAATGAAAATACAAATCTGCTGATAATCATGCATGGCTTCATCTTACAGGAGTGTAATTTCTTATAATGCTTTCCATAATGTCTAAATAATGCTGTATTTTCTGTTCTTACTCGTGCATTATAGTTGCATACTGAGAGGCATATTGATCCCAAGACTGAGAGAATAAATTGTAATAGATTCCTTAGCAAACCATGTGTAAACCTCATCAAATTCCTTTTATTCTTGTTTCTGCCATATGACTGCAGTTTTAAAGCAACAAAACAAGTTAATTATAAAAGCCAGGAGAAGTTGAAGAGGGATTTGGTATTCAAGAGTCCCTGGTATTTAAGAACACTAGGCTGTGAAACTGCAGTACTGGTTAGTCTCAGACATTCATTTTCCAACAATTGGAATTATTTCTCAACAGTTATGAATTTAGGAAATATAGACTGTATAAATTCTTGAAGAGAAACCATCTCAGAAAGCTATTACCTTTTCCAGGAATTTACATTTCTTTTTTTCCCATTCTAGACTTTATACACTGGTATTGTCATTTACGCTCCAGCTTTAGCACTAAATCAAGGTAAGATGAGTATACTGCAACTGTTCTTGTATTATGTTATAATTTTTTCTCTATATAATACTGGTATGCTTTTTTTTTTTTTAAATGCACACCTAAAGATATCACTCAAAGATTAACTGTGGAGTCTTCTAAGATTTCTCTCGATCCTGTTGGAGACTATGATAATAGGCCTCTCAGTTGTAATTCTAGTCCCTTAATCCCTACCTGTAAGGAATTATGGAAGAGGCTCGAGGTGAAAAACTGCTTTCATTTACTCTACCTCTAATGCAATATCCTTAGGTCATGGCTACATTCAGAAAAGTTAAGAAGCCTTAAGTAAATTTTGAAGGCAATGGAGAGACTAAATACATGTTTGATTCCCCTGGTTAAGTGCTCTTCTTCAAGAGAAGGGCTAGGCCAAAGTTCTGTAAATATGGTTTTGGGCTGCTTGGAACTGTTTAACTTGGCCTATCATTTTGCCTGGAAAAACAAATCAATAGCAAAGAGATCTTGAACTTAAGATCTTTGTTGTGATATTTACTAAAGGAAATATTTCCATTTTCTACTTCAAAATGACTGTGCTTTGAAAATGAGCCACATTTATGTCTAAAGAGGAGAAAAGCTTTTATGTGGAGCAAAATTAAACTTTTAATCTGACACAATTAATTTGTTCACTTGGCAAGAAAAGGCAATATCAAAATGCAAATAAAAATGAATAATTTTGGCTAGAATGAAAATCACACTTGTTCTGTTTGTTGTGTATTTTTTTTCCCTATTCATTTAAAAAAATGGAAGAGAAAACCCAACACTGTCTGCCGTCATCTCCTCCAGTGTACAAGTCCCACAGGTTTTTTTGTCCTTGATGTTTATATTTGTCCTGCAAATACTTACTAAACCAAGCTATGACCTAGCTGGCTCCCAACTAGAAGCAATGATTTGCATTAGTTTATTTGCAGTTTCTCAGCAGCCCGAGCTATCTGTCAGGGAGCTCCCAGCGCCCTGCCTGGCAGCACATGAGCATGCCAAGCTGGGGCAGTGACAGCTTGTATGCCAACCACAGCACAGTGTTGTCTGGCATAAACATACTATCATGTTTCCCTAAAAGAAAAAAGAATAAAAGAAAGGCTTTTAGTCTGACACATTTCTTTCAGACCATGCTTGAACTACCTTGCCTCCATGGGGCATCCCCATGCTATTTACTGGTTTAAATCCCTGCCTAAGGACTCTGTGGGACTACCCAGGCTTCAAGGAAGGACATGTATTTTAAAACCTTCCTGATTTGGGGCCTGCAAACATATTGAATGTATAGTTTGGCAGCATTTCCATTAAAGACAAATAGCTTCTTAGGTCCTGAAATATGTCTAACTGTTTAGCAGTTTCCAATGTCTGTAACAACTGTTTCATTTTTAGAATTGGGTAGGGTGAATCCTCTGGTTTAGATACACAAATCTTTTTGTTGCCATTTTTTATTACTTCCTACTTTTGCATTTAACTTATTTCTATTTTTTTTCAGCAATTAGATTGAGGTGAAAAATCAACCTTCGTTTTTGTGTTCCCAGTGCATTATTCACACTGGTGCCATTTCCCTCTTTTTCAGTCACTGGCTTCGACTTGTGGGGTGCAGTGGTGGCGACTGGCGTGGTCTGCACTTTCTACTGCACGCTGGTACGTGGGCCCTGTGGCTGAGAAAAATCTCTGTTCTTTTCACCATTCACATCAAATATGAAATTTATTGGAAAGTAGCCTAATAACCGGGTTACTCCATGGGAGTACATTTCACAGTGTAGCTGTAGCTGCAGGGCCATATTCACCCCGGGACATCTCTGAATGCAAAGGTAGCCATGATGTGACTCAAACATTTTCTGGTTTGATACATTCAAACTTCTGTGTTGCTGAAAGAATAGCAAAAAGACAGATTTCTCTTCCTAAAAATCCTCCTATGATTTTTCTTCGAATCTAGCAGGATTTAGCTGTGTAATTTCTCAAGCACCTGCTTACTGCAACTGTAATAGTCCTGTCTGTTATTGAACAGAGCCACTGAAAATAGCAAGTGCCACATGAACAGATTGGTCTTTACATGAGCATTAATTGACCAAGTGTCTAGAAATTATTAAATGGAACCTCAGTGACATTTGTGATTTGTATATGTTGGATTAAATCATGTTTATTTTTATTCACACGAATGGTATGCCGTCTGGAGTTAGTGGTACTGTATATATGTAAGATGAGCACTATCTGCCAATATGTCTTTTGATACAAACTTCTGAGTCAGGTTATGTGATGAACAAAATACTAGATTAAACTATGTGCATGGCCAAAGTAAATCTCATTGCACTTCAAAAAAGGACCAGGATGTCCTGAATAGGTTCTAGGATGCAATTCCTAAACTCTCCAGTACAGAATTATTTCTATTAAAGAAGAAGCTGACATTAATCTGTTATGCATAATACGGATGGTAACATTTCTCTCAGTTGAATGTGTGCAAAGCAAGAGTGCTGCTGTCCTGTTGTACCTGATACATGCTGTTCCTCATACAGGGTGGTCTGAAGGCAGTGGTGTGGACAGACGTTTTCCAGGTTGGAATCATGATAGCTGGATTTTCGGCTGTGATTATACGAGCGGTGGTGGTTCAGGAAGGAATTGGACGCATTGTAAATGATTCCTACTATGGAGGAAGATTAAACTTCTGGGAGTGAGTTTGTACTTGCAGATGATGTACTTCTTTATTGCTACAAATAGAGTCCATGTGACTAAGTGTGACATTAAATTGCTCCTGAAGGAGGAGGAGGCGAGGAGTTGTGACCCAATTTTTATATATTTTTAAACAAGCCTACCTAGTTTGAGGGATATTTTTTAAGTTTTAGACCATGTAAAATCCTGTACAGAAAAAAATCTTTTTACTTCGTCAAGTAGGTGTCTTAAGGATACATTTTGGATTCCGCTGAAAGCGAATGGTGAATAGGAGAGGACAATCGTAGTTATACTTACGATATATAGAAGCGCAACATGAGCTGGCAATGTGCACTGGCAGCCCAGAAAGCCAACTGTGTCCTGGGCTGCATCAAAAGAAGTGTGGCCAGCAGGTCGAGGGAGGTGATTCTGCCCCTCTACTCTGCTCTCGTGAGACCCCACCTGGAATACTCCGTTCAGCTCTGGAGTCCCCAACGCAAGAAAGACATGGAGCTGCTAGAGCGGGTCCAGAGGAGGGCCACAAAGATGATCCGAGGGCTGGAGCACCTCTGCTATGAAGACAGGCTGAGAGAGTTGGGGCTGTTCAGCCTGGAGAAGAGAAGGCTCCGGGGGATCTTCTAGCAGCCTTCCAGTACTTAAAGGGGGCTTACAGGAAAGCTGGAGAGGGACTTTTTACAAGGGCATGTAGTGATAGGACAAGGGGCAATGGCTTTAAATTGAAAGAGGGCAGATTTAGATTAGATATAAGGAAGAAATTTTTCACTCACAGGGTGGTGAGGCACTGGAACATGTTTCCCAGAGAAATTGTAGATGCCCCATCCCTGGAGGTGTTCAAGGCCAGGTTGGATGAGGCTTTGGGCAACCTGGTGTAGTGGAGGGTTTCCCTGCCCATGGCAGGGAGGTTGGAACTAGATGATCTTTGAGGTCCCTTCCAACTCTAACCATTCTATGATTCTATGATATACTTGCTTTATATCAGCAAACAGCTGATTTGACATTTCAGCTATTGAACCAAAAAAGCTGGGAAAATAATAGTTTTTGTCTAATCCAAAAAAGGGAAATGTTTTTCTTTTCCTTGAAAGAAAAATTAAAAATTCTTTCAATAGTATTTTACTCCCCATTATTATAACTAATCATAGCCTAAAAATACCATTTTGCAAGGTCAAGAATATCTCTTCTGTCAGTGTTGAATCAGAACCCACTTTAAGTTAAAAAAAAAGAAAAAAGTTACTGTACTTTTGATGAGAAGCTTCACCCAGTGCTATTAATGAAAGTTCAGTGCGATAAGTCTTACCTTTTGTCCTTTTGTCTATCAGTTCACAATACTCATCAAGTTGTTCCATAAAATTCTGCACCAGGTCCTTCAGTAAATAATTTATCTGTGGGAATTTTTTTTTCTTCTCATGAACAGTCATTTTTTCAATCTGTTTGGCTGATTACCAGTTGTTGTACTGCACTGATTCTTCCCTCAATCATGGAGTTCACAGATGAGAAAAGAAAAAGAATAAATAATATTATAATAATATTATATTTTTCATCAAGATAAACATAATTTATTGCTACATTAAAGCCTGATTTAAAAATATATATATTCATGGCCATTCAAAATCTGTTATTCTGTTAGAGCGAAATCAGCAAAATGTTTTACAGAGGCTCTGTCCACAAAGGCTGGGCTTGTAAACACACCTTTATAGTTGTGTCAGTGTGATGTCCCTCTAGATAAGCAGGCATATTAGACTTTTTATTGGAGCATCATTTCATCATAACAGTCACAGACATCATATTGCTTTACATAAGACTGTAGTTTATAGGCAAATAAAGTAGTTAAACTTCACCTTTTGACAGATCAGAGTTTTTCACTAGATTGTGATTTCAGCTCTGACCTTTAAATTTGCTTTCTGTGAGTTCAGATTTCACATATCTGAATGTTCAAAATCTGGCCAAATTAAGAGAGTTTGTGTTAGAACAAGCACGACAAAATTTTTTCTCCTAGCCATTAAAGTCTTCTCATAATTTTCATATTCTAAATTTGTTTTCTTGTTTCCCTCTCATTGTAGCTTTAATCCCAATCCTTTGCAAAGGCACACCTTCTGGACGATTGTTATAGGTGGGACCTTCACATGGACTGGCGTGTATGGGGTCAACCAGTCTCAAGTACAGAGATACATTGCTTGCAAAAGCAGATTCCACGCAAAAATGTAAGTAAGTCTGCCTACAGTAACTTTTAATGTCTGAATTTAGCAGTGACTGTACTTTATAAGGGAGATTTTTTTAAAAGACATGGTTTTTGTCTGCATAAAATCCATTTGTAAAGGGTAATAACTTTTGCTTTCTGTTTTGTGGACCAAGTAGAAGACAAATGCCCAGAGAAGTTGTGGATGCCCCATCCCTGGGGCCAGGTTGGATGAGGCTTTGGGCAACCTGGTGTAGTGGAGGGTTTCTCTGCCCATGGCAGGGGGGTTGGACCTAGATGATCTTTAAGGTCCCTTCCAACCCTAACCATTCTATGACTCTATGATTCTATAAATCAGCACAGTAAATACTGGTATTTGAATTAAATATAGTTGTTGTAACATTGAACTTTGTGCCAGAATGTTTCACTGTGTCGGTATTCTTGTATACAAATAGCTGCATTAAGTTTATATGCAACCTAAAGACCAAATAATATAGTCCTTGTGCTGAAACCAAAACAAGTGGGATCTTGAATTGCTACTCTACTAAACCTCAAACATTGCGTCAGAATTTTTCATGCGTAAAGACTAAAAGATTTTTCCATACCAGTGAGTATAGGCATGGGAAAATGCAGAAATGTTTTTTTTCAGTGATAAAATTCCTGAAGAATCATATGTTTTGTTTTCATAATAAAAATTACTTTTTTTTTTTAGGAATTCACGATGGAAACTGGCAGAGAGTTCTGTTTTCCTTGAGTTTAAACATTTCTCATCAGCTTTTACTCTAGAATGGGGTATACTTAGTAACTCTATTATCTTACCTTTATCATTAATATTATTCCAGTAGTTCACTAACTCAGGATTTAAGAATTATTAATCAGCTTATAAAGTCAATTAATAGGAGAAATATATAAATGCACATCATAACTATAGTCTCCTATACATTCTACAACACAGTGACATACAGAGAAGGAGTTTCATGAAGGCTTTCGCTTCATAAAGTCAGCAAAATACCCACAAAATCATGCACAGTTTAGAACTGAAATATTTTGGTTATGGCAGAAAAGAAAATCTACTTTTCAGCCATTTATGCTGCAGGCAGGAACGAGCTGATGCTCGTCAGCAGCCACATTTCCAGCATACAGTGCCACATCTCCAACACACCACGTGGCTTCTCCACAATCTCTGGCATGTGGCTGGGTTCAGATTCTCGGCACTGCAGAGGCAGGAGGTGCATCCTGCATCTGTAATACTGCCTGGCATGATTGCGTATAGGAAAACAGCCGCATTCATTGTGCCAGATCTGTGTGCCAGTGAGACTGTTTTTCCTGACCACCTACTCCACTTAGGGCTGAGCTCCTCCTCCCTCACAGCCTCGCTACCCTCTTTGTAAGGAGGGACACCTCTGGTGTGTTCCAGAAGCAGAGTGTGGCCAGGGGGAATCTGGCACCATGGCAGCTTCTGAGCAGATTTTCTGAGCTGTTGCAGCAGGTTTGACCAGGCCTGGAGGCTGTCTGGTTCTGGAGGGGTTTGGATGGGATTTGTAGCTCAAACTGTATTAGCGATGGCACAGCCTTAACCAGTGGAGCCCTCTCCTGCTGGTGTGGGTGGTTGGACTCCATGGCATCTTGCTTGTGCCTCGCTTGTGCAGGGAATTTCACCTGCATGGAGAAATCATTTTGTATAATGGTTGCAGCTTGTCACAACTATAAACACTGCCATTCTGTGGTGACTGTATAGTTCATTTGCAAATGATAACATTGCATTACATTACATTAGACATGTCTGGAAAGTCACATTGGTGGCCCGCACCTCTTATTCGCATTTAACCTGTACATACAAGTGTAAAACGTCATCAGATCGAAGTGATAGGGTTTTGTACCCCTGAGGCATTTACTGTAAGGCTTTATAAGAGACAGCACAATAATAAATAAGAGCTGAGAAAAGAATTCTTCCACAGATCCCACTTGCAGTGTTTGGGAAGTCCTCTAACAGTGGCACAAGAATAGAAATTTTCTCAGGCTTTGGGAAAAGATTTCACCCCATTCAAGAAACACACCAGTAGGTAGGAGCACGTGCTGTCATCCTCAAACAGTAACTGGCCAAATTGAACATAATGCTCACATACGAACCATAAGAGGTACTCAGAGCAGGAGAACTATACTTTCAGAAAAATATGGGCTACTAACACATTTTTCTCTACTTTCCTTTTGAGGTCATCATCTGTCACGTTTCAGTTCTAAAATCTTAGAGCCAGCCTAAAACAAACAACCAAAAAAACGCCTTGCGCAGTCACAGTGCCTACTTCACCCAGACTCCACCCCGTGTTCCTCATCCAGAATTAATAGGAACACCTGCCTTCAATAGGGCTACAATTATTATACTCCAGTGCTTAGTCATAGGGTGTATCGTGAGCTGGGATGTAAATCAGAAGAAAATAAACAGCTTGCTTTTCACTGTCAAATGCTGACATGGTTTAAAAAAAAGAATTGCCAGATTCAGACAATTACGTTTGCTTCCATGTGTTTCTCTTGGCTTTTTAATCTTTACTGCAGGCTCTAGGCTCATCCTGCTGTTACATCTGTTCAGGAGAGTTGGATTGATTTAACCTGTTGGTTAAATTTGATGCTAAATGAGCTTCTGAGTGCCTTATATCAAGGTAGATTATGCCAATGCAGGAACATTCAGCTAAATGGATGCAAGACATCCAACCAGTATGTAAGCATCTGTAAGAGGACTACTTCATCTTTACTAAATTAGTCTAGAGAGAAATTTAAAGTGCTGCTGGTTCTGTGTTTAGACTGCCCCTAGTTACAAATACAAAGCATAAATGCAGCATAAATACTATAAATGTATCAGCTTTTATTTGTATAGGGGTTTTTTTTAAGAGTTTACACTATGCTTGCCAATAATTTTCCTATAGTATAAAACTGATCGTTCAACTAGTTAATCTACATTATGCCATTTTGAAAATGTCCATTTCAATGCCTAACAAGGCCTATTAAGTTAGGTTTACTTCTTCATTCATCCTGACGGTCCTCTAGAGCTGTGCCAAAGCTGATGTCCCTTACCTTCTTGGGAACTGAAAGCACTGAAAGGCGTCCTGAACCATTACAGGCATGGATGTATTTGCACAGATACCAAAGGTCCTCCCAGTGGAGGTCTTAGCAGCTGGCACAGGTCCAGGGTATGTGATCTGATCTGTCAGGTGGTTAAATCACTATCTGTGGCTGGTACACAGATAACTGGGAGGCAACTGCTGGAAAGGAACGTGGTTTTTCAAGGCCAGGCTCCCAGTGTGCGTGTTTGCTTGAACTGACCACCCTAGGTAAGAAGAACTTTGTGACCCAGAAGTCATCAAGAGCTGAGAAACACTTGGGAACACTGTGTAGTTAGATGGAAGGAAAAGAACCTCACTAGGGGAGGACAGGGGTGGGGAGAAGAATTTGTTTTTCACGGTTAATAGGGGCTGCCTGTTGTATGTGGAAAAAGTACGTTAAGGCCTGGCCACAATCCGTTTCTGCTCTGTCTTAGCGTTTGCTGTAGTTTCCCTCATGATGTGGGGAGGTGATGGGGCTCTTGGACCAGACCAGGCTTCAAGTTTTTCAGTTACTAAAGGGGAAGCCCTGGAGTAGGTGGCAATCCCCTGCTCTCTGAAAGAGGCAGCTGTGTGGATGGCTCCAGACCAGGTCCCAGTGCCTTATTGCTGCCTTTCACGGCGACTGTCCTGGGAGGAAATAGGAGATTTGTTGCTTTACAAGGGCAACTCCAGCATTGTGTAAGCACTGCACTGCAGCTCCAGAGGCAAAGGAGTGCTGGTGCTGCCACGCTTTGATCTGGGGCACCCCGCCTTACAAATCTGTCCGGGGTTTGTCTTTACTGAGGGGTGTGGTGAGGGGCAGAGAGCGCCTTCTTACCAACTGCCCGCGGTGTAAAACTTGCGTCCACGACAAAACATGGGGATTATCGTATCGCTCCCATCACCTCCTCGGCAGACTTTCTCCGAGGATGGGCACTCAGACCGTACCACCACAACCAGGAATGTCATTCATATATTTAAAAACACGGTCGCACTTCAGATGAGATGCTGGGAGCCGTACTGGGACTGTCCTCCCCAGCGCCCGGGAGGTTGCTCAGTGCGGGCGCAGGCGCTGCCATGCGTGGTGCCGGAGGAGCCATGCGGATGGCGAGCTCTGACACGGCACTGCCATGCATGTCGTGCAGGTCCCTCTACATCAACCTGGTGGGCCTCTGGGCGATCCTGGCCTGCGCGGCGCTCTGCGGTCTGGCCCTTTACTCCATCTACAAGGACTGCGACCCGTGGACGGCAAAGCAGGTGTCGGCGCTCGACCAGGTAGGGCCGCTGTGCTCCGCGGGGAGGAAGGGGGCTTGCCTCCCTAAGGAAGAAGGCGAGGGAGGGTCCTTCCTCTCCAGCCATCACAACTGCAGGAGAGGAGTTTAAGAGCTGGGAGGGCTGTGTGCTCGCCTCCGCTACGTGGTCTAAACAGACTTTGCTGTATCTCGAGTGGATGTTTTAGGGTTGATTGTCTCTGTAGAAAACCAATAGACTGTGCGAGATGGAACATTCAAGGTTAGAACAGCTGGGCACAGTGCCAGCGAGAAGGCTATAACAAAAATAATGCAGTGAAAAAAAGGAAAAATTAGGGCAAGATAGTAATATTTCTTACTTTCTGAATTTTTCAGCTAATGCCATACCTAGTGCTGGATATTCTTCATGATTTTCCAGGAGTGCCTGGACTTTTTGTGGCTAGTGCCTACAGTGGAACATTAAGGTAATTTAGTAATTTGGAACTTAGTGTCTTTTTTTTCTTTTTCTTTTTTTTTGTTAGAGGTAGGAATTTTACCTATCCAGATATCTGCTGTGCACATCATTATCACGTGTACTAGTAATGTTTACAGCTTAGCCACAAGTAATAGATATTTTCATTGACTTCTCTAGGACCATTTTTTCATCAAGATTTGCCTTATCTTCACTAAAAGCATTATTTTCAACTGTTTTTGTAAGCTATCAACTACATCACCTGGAATAATAAGTTATTTCAAGCAATACAGCAGTTACATTAGTTTTCTGACACTGTTCTAGACAGTGGCAGTTTCTCTCTGCCAGTAACCCATCTGTTATCTGTGATTTCAGATTCTAAGATAAAAAAAAAAAAGTATAAATCTTGCCTTCTGTAGTACAGTGTCCTCCAGCATCAATGCTTTGGCTGCTGTGACTGTCGAAGACCTCATCAGGCCTTACTTCAGATCCCTCTCTGAAAAGAAGCTGTCATGGATTTCCATGGGGATGAGTATGTCTGGAAAATATCTTTTCTGCTTTTGCTTTACAAACTGAGGGCTTGATTCAGATCTGGCTTATGGCAGTGTAAGTCAGTCAGCAGTAAGTGTATTCACACCAACAGGGCTACATTGGTGCAGTACTTGAGGGAGATGAGATTAGCTGTGTAGGTTTTACACAGAATGGTGACAAGCTATTTCAAGTGAGCATAAGGGAAAAAAAAGCCATCTTTTTTGATCTTTAAGGAGTAAAGATGCACTGCATCTGTATTAAATATTGATTCGCGATACTACAAAGCCAAATGTCTCCAACTGAAACAGCTGTTACTTTTCTTTCATCTGTCAAAAAAGAGAGGTGGAGGAAACAATTTTGCAACAAATCTTTCGAAATGAGTGATAGGTGAGCAATGGCATCCTGTCCCAGTAATATTACAGAGAATGAAAAACTTGTCTCTCATATACCCTCAGACCTTCAGTCTTTTTAGCTCCTCTGTTTAATGTAGTTCAAAGAAGAGGGTCAGAACTAGGCTGAGCAGATGGTTTAAATCTCTGAAGTCTCTGTTATACTGTGACCAGCTGCAGGTGTAGCCCAAGACAGTGTTGGTAGTAAGCATGGAAAAAAACAGAGTCCTAACATGGTGTCATAGCCCATACCAGTGAACACAGCAGACTGCTGTCAGGTGACAAGTATTAAATATTTTCACCTGAGAGCAGTTTCTTAAACATTATTGCAAACAATGTTTATGCCAAAATTGTTGTTGGTCTTATCATGAGTTGCCTGACATATCACATTAAACAGTGCAACTGACCTATTGATTGTGCAGTGAAACTCAACAGGGGCGAAGGTGGAAAGAACAAATAAGCCAGTGTTAGGAGTCTTAGAAAGGGACACTACATCCTGGTCATCCCCAGGGTGTTCTTTGTCACAGAGCCAGCTCCCAGTAATCTGCCAGCATTTACTTTCTTCCTTCAAAGATTTTAGACTGAGAAGCAAAAATCATTCCCTCAAAATAAGGACTATGACACAGGAGATTAACTGAGAAATATGAACAATACTTGTGATATTGTCGTAATGACTAATCCATATGGTTGCCATTTATTAACTGATCTTTAGTAATACACAGGAAGAGGATTTTGTGAAATTTGCATGATCTCCTCTTAATGTAAACAGAAACCTGACCATTTGGCCTATTCAGACTCTCTTAGAAAAAACCCGGATGCTAGCAGGTTTGTTTTGGAGATGTCAGGGGCCATGCTGGGTTACATGGAAACATTTCCATTAGTGATTTTCAGACCTTGGCAGATTTAAGCATTGTTCTGCATTTCCCACACAGGCCTGTTTTACGGCGGAGTCTGCATCGCTATGGCTGCACTGGCATCTCTCCTGGGAGCCTTGTTGCAGGTGAGTGTCAGGCTGCTTTTTCTTGCCCATGTTGAATGACCCAGAATGAATGATGTAAGAAAATAATTGCTGGATACCATTATGAGATTAGTTTTTATTCTTTGTTGAGTACTGGCCTCAAACAGCCCACGGCTCAGCCTCTGCTCTAAGCACCCATGTGATTATATCAAGTCCTGCCGGCTGAGTACACATCGATTAAAAACCTCATAATTTTCTTCTCAACATCTTCTCCTCTTATGTGTCAGAGACTTTAACTTTCTTGCACAGCACCTGATAGAAGACTCTTTTCCTTCCTCAGGCAGCGCTCAGCATTTTTGGCATGGTCGGTGGCCCCCTTTTAGGACTGTTTTCCTTGGGAATCCTCTGCTCCTTTGCAAATGGAATTGTAAGTAAAAGTTTAAAGCCCTGTTGGGCCAAAATTCATTAATAATTTTCAGCGTCTCCTTCCCCCTTTCCCGTCAATAATTTTGTGTTGGGCGGCAAGGTAGAAAGTCTTTGATATTTTTCATGAGGACATTACATCTTTCTCCCTTTCGTCCTTATCCCACGGTATTGATGAAAAGAGCTGTATAAGAACTTGAATTTCTGTCCCATTAAGAGATTTACATGACAAAAGGGGAAAAAAAGTCTGAATAAAAATGAAACTTTGGCAACAATTTCTGCAAAACACTGTTTTAGAAGCAAGGAACAATGTGTCTTGAGATGTAGCTGAACAACCAGTAAACTCAGAGAATGCTGGCTTGTCTGAGCAGAAGGGAATCAGACTGGGAAAACAGGGCCCAAGAATTTGCAGACTGAATTGAGGTGTTCTCAGAGTGCTTCAGTGTCGTGAAATTATAATTTCCAGAGGAAAAAGCTATTCCATCAAAAAGTGGAATTGACGAACTTTGGGAATATAGTCCATGGGTTAGTCTGACAGGATTGCTATTTAGTAAGGTTCACTAATAACTAACTTTCACTTTGCAGTTGAAAATTTTATATATCTTCTTAAAATAATAATAATAAAAAATCACTAGCTGTCAGCAAAAAAACCCACTAATTGCCTCTGCATTTGTTCAAGAAGGGCTTCAAATAAAGCAGTATTTTCCCATATACCATGCAGCCCAAAGCTATCCTTTGATTGTGAAGGCATAGTGGCAAAATAAAGAGATATACTCAGGAGCTGTGAGTACACACTGCATTTCCCAAACGCAGGATGAAGTAAACTCCCCAGCTCTACCTAGCTGTATAGTTCATTTTTGCTATGGAGCCTACAGTTTAGATTATCTTGGCTATTTCTTACTCATCTAGGGTTTGTTGTGTGTTTTTTTTTTTTTTTTTTTGTTGTTGTTGTTTTTGTTTTTGGTTTTTTTTCAAATATCCTTTTGCTTTTCATGTAAATCCAAGTTTCATTTTCTGTGTTGCAGGGTGCATTTGTGGGACTTGTCTGTGGCTTTGCTATTTCACTTTGGGTTGGAATTGGATCTCAGATTTATCCTCCACTCGCAGAGAGGACCAATCCACTATATCTCTCAACTTCAGGCTGTAATATATCCTCAGGAAATTTGACATCAACAGAAAATCCGTTAACAACAGTCTTCAGCACACCAACTGCAGAGAGGTATACAAGTTCATTATGCGCAGTCAACAAAGCATGTATTTGTTTTAAAGTGACCTGAACATCTGCCTAGCATTTGGGTTACTATAATTGTCCCTCCCTAGGTTTAACTACCAGGCTGTTTAAGAGGAAGCAGTTTTCTCTGATTTTTCTTTTTTGCCTGTCAGAGTGAAGTTCATCTGAATTATCCCAGAACAGAAGTCAAAGTGAATCTTCCTATTGATCTGAAAAGCTTCAGTTCAATATTTCAGTCTAAGGGCTTGGATATGCCTTACCAGGAAACATAGTGTTAAAGCAAGCATATTATTTATGGTTATTGGATTAACTTCTAGTCTGTCACGTGAATTAAAGTAGTAGGCAGTTAAAGGGCAATTTGCCAGCTTAACAGCTCCACCTATAACAGCTTGTCCGTGCAGAAATAGTTCTATTGAGGAAATTCAAAAGAGGGCATAATCCATATAATGGGCAAAATATAAGGGATTTTCTTCCCTCTGCAATTACCATATGTCTTACTTGGGACAGTCACAATTAAGTGTAATAGTTATGAATGATAATATAGGCAACAGCAGGAACAAAAAGAAGCTAAACAGACACATTTCTAGGGATTCCTAATCCTTACACTTCTGAGCACTGTACAATCAACAGATACCCTGGTACACGCACGGGTGCCCAACATTCAGTTTCATATACTACACCTCTCACACAAGGCCTCCAGCTTGCTTGTGGCTGTGGGGAAGAAACTCCTGCAACAGAGCCCATTGTCAAGAGAACAAAATAAGGTGTAACCTGAGGCATGACAGTTGCCCTATTATTTTTGGCTGTTTGGAGTTGCGCATGGCTGATTTCCTACTTTTTTTTTTTTGTGTCCCCTCCTTTAACAATGCCCTTCCCTTCTAAAGATGTTATCCCTTCATCTGGATAGCTGGAGTTCTCAGCTCTACGCTAGATTCCTAGCAAAGACAGGACTGTCCTGTTTTACTTGCTCTGTCCCATGCATTGCTTTACCGTACTGACCAGTCTCCTCCCCTACGAAGGAACTTGCCCTGCAAATTTTAAAACAGATTTTCAATGCACATTTTGTTGTACAGAGGTAGTTCAAGAGTAATAGGTCGATTGGTTCAGAAGTAACTCTGTATCTATACTATATCTGGAAACACAACATTTTCAAGTTGCTTGGAATAGGAAAGTGGAAATTAACATTTTTCTGCTCTTTTTCAGGCCTGCTCTGGCAGACAACTGGTATTCCTTGTCTTATCTCTACTTCAGCACACTTGGGACACTTGTCACAGTAGTTGTGGGAATAATTATCAGCCTCCTAACAGGTACTAGTTCCAGAGCTGTGCTTTAATGTGTCTTAGATCTCTTTCAAACTAAGATGACCAGACAGCTGTCATTGTCACTGGAAGTGTCGACGACCCTATTGCAAACATTGTGTACAGGTTATCATCCTAACTCTCGTTTTCTCCTCTCAGCCCTTCTGCATCCCACTCCTAGTATCTGCTCACAGCAAAGGTTACTTCAAATTTCTAAGGAGAAATAAGTTTCAGCAGTTTTCAGATGCCAGCAGGGACTGAGGTTTAAGAGTTGTACCTGAACATGGCAACAGCTCCAAGCAAGGAGGTACACCCATGCTTCTAGAGGACAAAAGCAGTTTTGAGTGAGTTCAGAGCACTCAAGGATTATTGTCTGCACCTGCACAGCACATGCTTTTCACCATATACCTGAGCTGCAGACCCTGCACATAACTATGTTAGCTTCTTTCTCAGTTTCCCTGTACTATTTGTGCAAGAGGCAAAAAAGCAACACCCCACAGGTAAGAACAGGGACTGCAGCTCCAGCCTATGGCCTCACTACTTTTGCATCTAAGTGAGATGCAAAGTGCACCTGTAACCCACCTCTTGCATGGCAGATATGGCACAAAAGCAGCTGCTCTCACAGCTTTCCCCAGAATGCCCAACAAGATTCCTCTGACAGCCCTTATCTTTGAGGCTGATAGATTTCAGACCTATTAGTCTGACCTACAACTACTCCAGGACTATGAAACTCCAAACCCAGCAGACAAACTCACTTCCAGTGGCTTCCCTGTGCCTTGCAATTACTAAGCGCAAGTTACACATCTACCATTTTCTTTTCCTTGTGAGTTTCTAGAGGCTTTTCTCCTTGTTTTCTTCCCATCACAAGCTTTTCCCATTGCTATAGTGATACTTGTAGACAAATTTTGCTTCTTACCAGGTTGGGATCAGATCACCCACAAGCCATGAAACAAAGCATGAAAACTGGGCAATTCAGTAAATCCAGATGAGAAATCCTCAGCCCAAGAAACAGAAACCCAAAAGAACTAACCCAACCACAACACCACTCAGCTTTTTGGGGAGCAAGATCCCATTTAAGCTTCAGGTGGCAATTAGAGCTAATTCCCATCACCTGCATCTCCTTTCCCACACGCATTCCCATACAAGAATAGTTAATCTTCTATGCCTTAAAAATGCCCAAACATCCCATTAACACCTATTCCCCCACCTTGAGGCTGCCCTTAAATAACTCACTATAAAAATTGCTGGTGGCTGTTGGGGCAGGAGTCTTGCTGACAGGGAGCAGAGGACTGAGGCTCAAGCTCCAGGGCAGCATTTGGTGCCACAGCTCCTGGACTGGCAGGGTGGTCTAAGATATCATTGTATGGGATTTGTCCTTTTCTGATGATTGTTTTACATTTTTTACACAATAAGAAATCTGAGGAGGATCTAGGTAACTCAGGGAAGTGACTAAGGCATTGCAAATGGACCTTGAGGGACCATTTTGTATTTTGAGAGTTGCAGGATATACGTCATTGTAAAGAAATATCCCTAAGGCCTGTGATTGCTTCGTGGCTTTTGCATAACTCTGTCCTGCTCACCTGGCTTGGTGCCTGTAGCTGGGCTCTGACATATCATTTGCATGGGGAAACCTGGCTGATTGAAACCTGCCTGCTTTGCAGGAGGACTAAAGCAGAACACAGATCGTAA